TATATTTATTTTTAAAAATAAAATTCCTTTAGTAATTACCTTTTGTTGTTACTTTACTTAAATGATTTTTTATGCAATGAATTCCATCATTCATTTTTCCACTTTAGAAAAATAAATAAATTTTTACGATCCTCTCACTCTCTCTCTCTCTCATTTTTCTTCATGAAGATATTGGCTATTTAATTTCTATACATGAACATTTTCTTGCTTAAATTGAAGATTAAATTTAATCCTGAATTTATTTTATTTTATTTATTTCTTTTTTTTTTCTATGTTCTTTCGGAAATGTGTCAAATTAATCTCTGCCCACAATGTCAAAGCTTAATCCTTTCTTCTAAATATGAGATAATCTACTGACACAATTGACAGATATTGTGACAGAAAGTAAAGATTAAAAGTGAATTTAATTGTTATTGAAATAATAATTAAGCGTCGTTGCAATTATATTTTAATTAGAAATTGTTTTTTTTTTTAAAGTTAAATAGCACAGAAACACGCAGATTTTGTATTATAAAATTCAATTTTTAAGTGCCAGATTGCACGTAAACTGAACAACCCTAGGGCCTATGAGGCCAATTTATGCCTCGAGCGTTTTAATTTGTTATTATTTGATGAAGAAGGGCCTTGGTTCTAGTTTAAAATAGTTATTTTGAAGTATTATAAACAATTAAGATGTAAATGTAGTTCATACTAATCGAAAAAAAGCAACTTTTATTAAAATATTTAGATATTTTTCAATGAAACAAATCTAAAATACTAGTTATTAAGAAAAGAATATCTTTTATTAAAATAACTATTTATAAAAGCAAAAATAGAAGCTAGAAATTCCAAGTATTCGTAATATAATATCCTGTCGATCCTTTCTACACTATTAAAATTGATTCCATTCCAAGATTAAAATATGGAAACGACTGGACATGTTCCGAAAACAAAAAGATCTCGTTATAGTAGACAAACAAGCAATTTTTATTAAAATTTTCAAATCAAATTCCTTAAAAAATCAATAGAAAAAAAAACTCCATTTATTCCATAAAATATAAAATCGGAGTATTGAAAAACCTGCTACAAAACTGCATAACGGACTTAAGGGAAAACAACAAACATAGAAGATCTAACCGTCAATTGCACTCCTACAGAAAAAAAAGAAGAAAAATAAGGTCAGAGCTGCAGGGGATAAAAGTCGATTGTTCTCTTCATATACTACATCAAAATGAGTCGATTCGGACATGAATTCCTTCTTCATAACCATCAAATTTCTTGTAATGATCTTCCATACATACTTGTGAGCAATTCTATGCTCCCACGAGTGTAATGAAGAAAACTTGCCTTATAATAAATATTAAATTATACAGTAAAAGCTAAATAAAAGTAATTTTACAGGGTTTAAGAGTCTCGTCCTAGCATCAAACTTTTCAGTTTCTTATAAGGCCATGAACTGTACAATCTAGCAATTACTGTACCCATATTTAATTATTATAACCGATGTCAGAATAATTATTTTATATTAGTTAAAATGTTTTAATACTTCTTAACGTTTTCTGTATAATAATACCATTTAAAAATAGGGGTATATATATTTATAACCAATTCCATCTTCTTGTGGTTATAATGAAGAGATCTTCTCTTATAATAAATATTATATGATAGAGTAAAAGATAAATAAAAGTAATTTCACAGGGGTTAAATCTCTTCCTATACTGAACTTTATCATATAATAATTACTGTATTTATTGTAGTTAGAGGTTGACACTATCAGAACCTTCACTATAGTCTCAGGCAAACAATAAATAAATAAATAAATTTAACAATATAATAAAGTAACACGCATAATGGTATAATAAAATAATCTTTTTTGTTTTCTTCATTAATTACAAATCAGTGTAGGGAGTTAGGGAAAGATGCTGTCTATCTGGATCGATGGATTACTGGAGTAAGGGCAATCTGCCGAAGGAGAAGGCTTTCTATGGAAACTAATCTCTATTTAGGTGTTAGATACACGAAGAAAATGCGACGAATATCACGTGGTCAGGCGTGAACCCACCACCAACTACCATTTTTCAGTGGTTTTATCCATTCGATCAGTGGTGGGCCGAAGAGATATTAAAGGAACGAAACTTTAAAAACATTCATAAAGTTAAAAATAGTACAGTAATATATAAGTGGGTGGTTAAAAATGGTTTTATAACGTCGATTGTTTATTCAAAAATAAACATATCTAGATTTGCATCTTTTCCTTTCTTTGTAATTCAATTGTAGTCAAAAAAATGTTCGTATTGATTTAGATGAAACGTTAAAAAATTGTAAAAATAAAGTAATTACGTCGATTTTATCAAGTCGATATAAAATTAGAATTAATGATTTAAAAACATTTGACATTTACGAGACTAGAAACAAATGACAACTAAAGGATAACAGTTAAAGGATGCCAAAACAATTGTATATTTTTCTCGTTACTCACATAAATATTTATTTATATTAATATTACTAAGAAATAATCAATCAAAAATCCGAATAACTTTTAAATTACGTAATACAATTCCGAATCTGAAGAAATCGCAATTAAACCCGGAGCCCGGAGCCAAACTTTCTAAACCCGGAAAGTAACTCTGTAACATCTCGATATTGAAATCGTACAATTAATTAACGTCAGAACAAAGGTTTTACATCATTCAAAGTATATTTTCTATTACTTATAATACTTTAAAAATAGAAACAACCAAGTCCACAAACACAACTTATCATATGATGAATATCAAACTGCACAATAAAAGCTAAATTAAAGTATTTTTATGTGTTTTATGAATCTTATCTTTCATCAAAACACGATATAGATGTACACTATACAAACAAACAATTATTTACATTGTAATTCTGTATTGAAATTGTGTAATCGCGAGTAATTTTTCATCAGTTAAGATGTTTTGACGTCTTTTCAAAAGCTTCAAAGTGTGTTATATCTATATTTTCTTTTATTTATTAACACAGTAACGCTTTAAAATATTAATTTTCTCGATTGATTTCCGTTACTTCTCGGTAAGTTGGCGGTTTAGGTAACCGAAACGTTCTTGAATTCTAATTATAAGACTATAGATTTCTGGCTGCATATTTAGTTAATAGAGTTTCTAATCATTGTATTGCCGGGCTGTAACATCAATACGGTTAGTTAATAAGAGGAATATACAGTTACATTCTCCGATAGTTACGGCAAACTTGGTGAAATTAAATTAACCCGAGATTAAAACGTTATTCGATTATAAAATATGAAAAAAAAAAAACAAATGCTTGTTACGTAAGAGTTTCTAAAACGAGAGTCGTAAAACACGAAACTCGGTTGTGGACCATCCAACTGTTGAGTCGAACGTTACATTTACATATTTTCTCGGAAGCAAAAAGGAAGATTAGATATAAAATGTGATTTATAGTCGAAATTTTTATCCCAGTTGATATGATTTATAGCGAAAAAAGATGTTATGATGCATCCGTGAATAACGCTTCACGAATTTTAAATAGAGAAAGTGGGTCTTCTGGCAAAAAAAAAAAAAATGTTTCGTTTAAACAACCTTAAAAAGTAAACCAAGTGTATATCGCACAGCTGTCTAAACAATCCGGCGTGTAAAATGATTAGGTAACTGCTAGTGAATCTTCCTCACCTGTCTGAATGCTCGTTTACCAAAAATTGTTATTACGGGGCTTTAAAATTTCCTACATACATTTCTATACCTAACAGAAATGCATACAAGGTACTTGCTACGTGTTTCAAAACACCGGTTTCCTCTAGAATATGTAATTTTAATATAGAACGGGCACATTTCTTAGTGTTTTAACCTTACTTCAATGGCCGGAATTTTGCAAACTACGCTTTATAAAAATAAGAATTACGTACAGACGGTTAGGACGATAACATAAACGCTTTTTTAACGAGAAAAAGAAATGTTTTAGATTATATTTCTATTCTTATATTACAATTCTAGTCGAGGAAAAATTGGTGAAAATTTTAGCAGTAAATTCGAGCAACTGTCAAATTTCTTTGTGGTTGTCTATCAAAAGTATTTTCCTCTCGAATTCAATAGGATCGGTTTCTCCTTTATTGGTTTTTTAGTGCTTCAGTATGCGAAAATAAAGGTTTGTCACCTCTCATCCTTTAACTTTGATCCTTATATTGCTGGCCTTAACTCGCTTTCATTCGGCATTATGAGATAAGGAAACAAAAATTGGATTTTTCGAAACCGTTCTGGTTTAAAATTAATGATCTTTTAAGGTCTTATATCTTTATTCTTCACACTTTAACAGGGAGAAAAAAAAAAGGAAAAAATTGCATCCTGTTAACGAGAGACTTTACAAGTGCTTTGTAGAAAAGTAATAAAAACTTTGACGTAATTTCTAAAACACTTTTAAGGTATTTAATTAATATTTTTAAATTCATCGAAGATACAAAAATGCAGATTTTTTCGTGTGTGAAAAGTCTAAATAAGGCGCCAAGAATTCAGGGAAAAAAAAAGGAAATTTTTTTTGTATGGAGTCATGCTGCGATCTTATCGCCTCGTTCAAGATCATAAACAAGAATAAAATAGAGTCTCCTAGATAAGAGGAGAGGTTATATAAGGTATTAATCAGTCTAACAGGAATATGATAGCAGTATTTAACGCATATAATCTAATCCCAAAAGGTATAGCTCTTATTAAATGGGTCACGAGGAGGAGAAAAAAATTTGATCGATTCCTCCTCCTCTAGCGACCACGTGACACGAAACTTTTTATGAATATAGTTTAATTTCTGCAGATTATTCATAAAAATATCATGGAATTTAGTAATTAATGCGGTTCCTTTTTTTTAAATTCGGACTTATCGTAGATTATAAATACTCTTCGAAGTGTTTTTTTTAAAGATAATTACTTCAGTTTCGTCTGAGAATATCCAAGAATTTTTACTACGAAACAATATTTAGCGTTATTATTATTACTACTATTATTAATAATATAATACTTTTAATAAGATTTTATCACTTACTTTTTTACAACTTCATAACAAAATACATTCGCGACGAAGAGAGAAAGACAGGGAAAGAGAAATTTCCATAAATAAAGATTAATTTATATATATTATATATTTCAATATATAATTATGTTTTGTACTTTTTTCGTAAAGAATATCGACACGAAAATAGAAGCTTACAGCGGATAGTGATTGTTGTGCGGTAGTTGTAGCCTGATAGTACCAGTTCTGTCCACGTAGGTTGTTACTGCGTTACCATTTCCGCTGCTACAGTTACGGTAACAATCTCTTCTGAACGATATCAAACGTAAACTAGAGGTGAAAGTATCCGTTCTAGATAAGAGGCTATTTTGTGTAGAAGTCATATTCAATCCGCATCTGGTGTTAAACATGACTTTCAGAGCCTCTTTAATTTCTGGCATTCTAGCGGCGTATATGATAGGATTTATCAGACACTTCAGTACGATCATAGCATTAGAGAAGATGGCGGCACCCAGTAAGATATCCTTAGATACTGTGTGAAACGGTACCACACAATCCTTACATATCAAAACAAAGGTAAACACGGCTGGTATCCATCCCAGTAAGTAAGTTCCTAGAATGAGTAGAGTAGTAATGATGGCTTTGACATTTTTATGAAACTGTCTGGCAGATGGGAAACTAAGGAGTCCTCTCTGATGCTGGCGAACCACTAAGTATATGTGTACGTAAATGAAGCTCAACAGTATGAGAGGGAAGAAGAAGAGCAGCGATACTGTCAGGTGAAATGTTCTGTAGATGAGAAAGTCCATATTCTGGCATCTTAAAGATAGAAATCCCTGTCCCGGGACACTCGAGAAGTATATAAAAAAGAACACAACGGGGACGATCCACATGATAATTATGGTAATCCCCGCACCTCTTCTGGTGACGGTAGCTGCGTAATGTAACGGACGTAATATTCCTATGTAGTGATTAACGGCGAGTGCTAACAGGTGTAAGACGGAGACCATTAAACCCGTCATACGAAATGCCTCTAAAATTAGAGCCGAACATCGGTAAAAAGATCCCATAAAGTACACCGAGTATACAATAGGTAATAAACTGTTTATAATCAATCCGGTTCCGAGAATAATGGAATTGTAGGCGTCTGTCAGGGCCAAACTCAAGCTGAAGTAAAGAGTAGGCGACAGAGAGCGCCTGACCCAATGTGCGGAGAGTAAAATAAGGATGTTAAGGAATGCAGCCAACAGACACGCACTTAACATCATAGGCACGACTACACGATACAAGTCTCGTTGAAAGTTGCCCTCGTCAACTGTCGCGTTGACCACCGTGCTAACGGACGAATTCACCATGGTCACATTTGGATGTTGTAGGAGCCCACTCTGAATCTTTAACCGGTGAGCTACCACTTTTATGTGCCAGGTGACACCATAACTGGGCACGCGCGGCACGACTTCCCTTTCGCTTTACTCCGTCTGCCTGCAACTTGTTAAAGTACCAGGTAAGATTCTATCGAATTTTAAACCTAATAAAGTAAATATCGATTATGTTTATTGAGTTTTTATAAGTGTAGTAATTAAATTATTGGTCTATACAATCGAATTTCAAGTAAGCTCTGTAGTAAATCACTATCGTGCATGGTTTTCTTCGATAAGAATGACTTTATCTACTTCTGTAAATGACAAGGATTATGTGGGATGTACTTTATAATCTTATGAATAGAAAATTATGAATTTTTTCCTTTTAATTCTTTTCATTCGCCGTACAAAATATTATTTCGTACTGATTTTTTTTATTGAAAGATTTATCGATTTTCTGTGAATTATATGGCACTCTACGACAATTTAGCGGATCGATGACGAACTTATTAATATTCTATTTGAAAAAAACTCCCATTTTTTCGATAACTTATCTTTAAAATTGATCCATTTCGCATGGGAATCAAATTTTAAGAGCCTATCAAATTTATATTCACTTAAAGAAAGTAAACAGTAAAGAAATTATGGGAATTTAAATCTCGCAAGTACAGTTTGTAACGATTTTAACACTTTCGACACTTAACAGGACCTATTTTCCATTAATACTTCCTCTTAAAAATTCTTTCTTTATAACTATTTAGAGAAATGCTTACAAAATTAATTAAATTTTCTATCATCTTGCTTTGGTTTTATAATTTTTAGGATTAAAAATATTTTTAAAAAGTTATTATTACTTAAAGTATGCGTGTTAATCTATCAAGTTATCAAGAAGATGATTAGATTTGTTCCCTCACTCTGCGACTCGTTATCCATTAATATCAAAGAGTTACTTCAGCTGAAACTTAACACGATCAAAAATTCATTACGTAAATTTATTAGTAACGATGTAGTTTATTAAATAAAAGTGCAGCTTTCTCTATAATAAAGGGTTTCGAATATAAAATACTAATTAGCTTCCATTGATATCTAAGTTTTCAACGCCGTTATTCGTTGTCAAAGTTAAGAAGGATTATTTACTAAAAGAATATTTTCTTTTCCTCTAGAAAGTCGAATTTCTTTTATTATAACGATTTTCACAAATTAAATATTCATCATAAACCTCAATTGCAACCGAGTAGAAAGGGGATAGAATTAAAGCATCGCGTGTAATCTATCATCGACTAATCTATATTGGTCCTGCCGAAGACGACGTGACAATATCGATGAAACCATTGGTGACATTAAAATTAATCTTCTAACCACCAAACAGAATCGTTTCCCTCAAAGGAAATGTCCCAAACGTTAAAGTTAAAGTAGAAAACTCTTGCTTAAGTCTAAGAAAACATATTTCTCAACAAGTTTTACATCATCTAATATTAGTTTTCTCATCTCTCTAGAGTCAATGACTTCTCCAGTTCTAATCAACAACTGACTGATGCAAACTAATTAAAGTTTTAATATTTTAATCTTATTAAAAACTTATTTATAGGGAGGGGAAAAATTAATCAAATTCCATTTTTCTTATTTACAAATTCGACTATTATATTGGCGAAAAGTATGTAGAAAATTGCAATTAAATCATACGTTAGTAAATTAAATTTTTAGGGTTTTTTTTTCTTTGTTTTTTTATTAGGAGGAAGAGTGGCAAACATTGTTCAGCAACCCTCTTTAAAGTTTCCTAGAAAGGTGATGGGCAATCGATTCTAATTGAATAAAAGATACACTCACGAGGACCATTACCAAATGCGCTTTCTCATAAAAAACACGTAACATTTTTTGTCTGGTTTTCGTTGATCGAAGGGGAAAAAATCCCTACAAGGACATTATCTATGGAGTAGCCATTTCTGAACTTTATCTATTTTTAAACAAGAAACCTGTTTTTCTTTTTTTCCTCTTCGTGTCTGCGAGTGTGGTCCAATATTTATATCGGTTTCAATTATTTATTTTTGTAATGTCGGAATTTAAAATATTGGGAATCGTCTATAAACCATCAACTGACGATGCGGTAAAACAAACATATCTATGCAATCTGTCGCTATAATAAATCGATAATTACTGGCATGAAACGGCGTGTCAAACGATTCTAATTATCGTAATTTTGAAGATAAAAAGTAGAAAATTTTTTTATTTAATTTATTTTAAAATTATTTTTCTGTAAAGCCACCCACGAAGTTGTTTATCTACGTAATAACTTCTAAATTTTATATTTTTTAAATGCAATAAACCTTTAAATTTAAAGTTTAAAAACTTTATTTAATAGAATTTATAAAGTAGAAACTCTATTAACCGGAGTAACGAAGGGGGAGGCGTGTGCCCGGATAATCGAAAGCGTTAATGTGTTTTCGTTTATATAACAAAACTAAATTATAATTAACACGAGTAGAGAAGAAAACTCGCGTATAATTACGTATAAAACTTTAAAATAATTGTAATTCTATGCCATTGATTCTCGACTGGAAATACAAATTTAAAAAAAAAATCGTCTTAAAATGCATTTACGTTACGTTACGTTACGTTACTCCTGTCCAATCAAACGTGTTACAAATTTTTCATCAATTAAATTACATACCTATTTTAAATTTTATAAAGCATTCCATTAAGAATAATTTGTTAAACATAAATTGAGTTACCAGTGGAGTCGATGGAGGAGGAGGAGGAGGAAGAGAAAAAGGGGAAGCAGCTATTTCTTTCTTACGAAAAAAAGTAAAGCCATTAAGAAATGAGAAATAATCGTAAAAATGTAATAATTATAACATAAAAAGCATTAACTTTGGTTAAAACCAATGTCTATTAGAGCGAGGGAACATATCTACACTTCATCATCTACTCAATTACATCTTTAGGATCTTCATAATAAAATAATAAGTTATAAAATAAAAGCATAGAACTATGCTAATGATCTTATTTAAAGTTTAAACAAAAGTAAACTTTATTTAAAAAAAAAAATCATAAGCAATTGAATAGGTTGTTACAACGTAAACTTACATCAAACTTTACTTTCTGTTTATGCTTTGCTTGATGTTTTTAGATTTAATGCTATAAAAAATTAAATTGAAAAAGTTGATAAGTTGCTTTGCTTCCGTCTCACGTTTATTCTATTCGTTAACCATTTTGCATAATTTGCAAACTAGATAATCTGAAAGCAATTCATGCATTATTCATTGTTCGGTGTACGAATGTTTCGCGTTATATTGATTCATAAATGCAGGTAGATACGATTGATTATATAAAAATATAAATACTCTACAGAAAAAATTACTTAAAATATATTCCTTTACAAATAATTACTTCTTAAACAGCAGAGAAATTAATAACAAATTATGGAAACAATAAATTGTACTTAGTGATTTACTTTTACTGAAATTTTGAAAATATTTTAAAAATCCAAATAATATATAATTCTCTATAATTATAAAAAGTAATAGACTCTAGACTTTTAGCATTTTTACACGTTTTTTAGTGTCTTAAATTGATTATGCATATGTATAGCCTATGTATGTATAAATGTATGCAGGATCTGAGGAAAGGAAATGGGACAGAGACTCACCAAAAGTTATAAAAAATTTATAAATAAAATCAATAAAACAAATTTTTTCACTATTTATTAAAAGAAATTTTAATTTATAATATTATACACAGTATAAGGGTAAATTTTGGAGTATTCTTTATGTCTGGGATTTAAGCCAAAGAGCCTTGTTAGTACCCTTTTTGCCATATATATAATTACAAATTTTACTAAAAGCACTTATAGTTATTCTGTAGATCAGCTTTAATCTTAATCAAAGTAAAGAATTTGAACGTAGACAATTCCATTTTATGGTAATTAAGATTTTATTCATTTGACTCATTTATTTTTCAGATAAATCTTATTTTTAGCAATTCAGATAAGTTGAGAGAATCTACAAAGACATGGTTCTATAGCCAAATAATATTTTCACTTAAAAATAATTTGACCACAGGCCAGGAAGGAATTTAATACATTTATAGTTTTCATTCCCGGAAGACAATACATTACTTTTTAAAAAAAAATCTATATGGGCTTGTTTACAATAGCTAATATCTACAACAGCATTTTTGTTGACTGTTATTTATTATATGGTTTTTTTTATCTGTTAAAATTTAATCCAACGAAAAGCGCTATTAATATTTTATTAAAACTTCATCTACTATTTCCTTATAGAAATATTCCAATGAATACTTCATCCATTATTTTATACAGGAAGATTCCTCTTCACTTTATTTATTATTATTTTATATATAACGATTCATGCAGACTTCATCAATTGTCTTTCTTGCTTCTGCTTATTTGCTTTCCTAATTCTTATAGAACTGTTTTATATTAAAAAGAAAACTTTTTACGTGATTTACTTCAACAATTTTAAATTATTAACTAAAATATCATACTGTTAATTACTTCTCCTATTTTTTTTATATAAAACTAGGTATTTATTTCGAAGAAAAGCGGTTATCTATCACCTCTGAGTGAAGTAAATGAAGTTAAAACGCTTTCAGTTAAGTCAACAAAAAGTAAAAGTCGTTAAAAGTAACTATTTCCCCATTGGTATAGTAGAAAACTAATTACTTATATAAAGATCCAATTCAAGGAAATAAAATACAAAAAAACATATAAATTCAGAAAGTTTTTATTAATCATCAGCATATTAAAGGAAGCAAATGATCTATCGATTATTTTACATCATTAAAAAAAATCAATTAATTTCTCTTCCTACTGAAAAACTAAAATCTTTCATCAGAAATTTACATTTTATTTACATCCATAAATATTAATCAAATAAAAGTAATAATTTTTGTTTTAAAAATAAAATATTGATAATTTGTAAACTGTTTATACATGAGCTATAAGTAGAATTTATTTACCAATTCTTGAAATAATAATAATATTCATGTTTCGTAATATAAATTCCTACTTATTTTGCCTATTTTTATTAAAAAAAAAAAACTGGAAAAATAATTGAATGAATCATATAAGGAAAGTTAGATCTTATAATTTCTAATAATCAATAGGAAATGAATGTAG